GCAAAAGATTGATGATTACTGCTAACTTTTAGGAGGGAAATTTAGGCAGCGGCGAAAAAAATCTGGCCCATGGGCCGTATCGTAAAAAGCTGGACTGGTCGCGTGCATATGATTAGCCAATCAAATTTGAGGATTTAGGATTCCGGCCCGCACAGATGCTTGAGAAAAAAATAAAACAGTATATCATCATCATCAGTGTCATCATTTAGTGCAGTGGGAAGTCCATATTTAAAGCTAGAATTTGTTCAGTTATGCACCTAGCAAAACCCTTCAACTGCAAGACTATCCTAGAATGTAAATGAAGTGAACCATTTTATATCTTTTAAATTTTAGAACACCATAGGTTGCCTAGAAGAAGGAGCAGAACACAACAAAGACGTTCAGGAGAACCTATGGTCCCACATGCACAGTCAGCAGCTAACCAAAGTGACAGCAGAGACATGTCTGAGACTGACACTGTACAACAACAAAGGCTTAGAGGTACACTTACACTGTAGTCCCGTTTTTAAGTATAAATTCAGTGGAACCTTGTTTATTGAGCAGGTACCAAAATCTGACCATAATATGCTTGCAAGCAAGAGCAAATAAATGATCGATACAAAGGCACAAGATTGCACAGCCTTGTTCCCAGGCTCTCTCTACTCTGCCTTGTCTTGAGCTATGCACTGAGGAAAGGAGTGTTGTCACTAACTAGAGGTTGTCAATTACAGAGCTTAGGCACCGAAAGTTTTGGACATTAACCTGTCCAGAAATATTTTTTTGTTCAATCACTATCTTCAGTAGGGTTTTACTTTCTTCCACTTATTGCCAGCATGGTTCATTGTCAAATATGGATCTTCAAATCTAAAAAGCTGAGATAGTTGCCTTCAAAGTAGATTCCTCAACTTAATTAAAGTAATAAAGCATTTGGCAGTATGTGAATTTAAAGATTTAAATTTTATGTCGCAGCAAGTCAGAGACCAAGCCAGAGATGTCTTCCAAGTTATGGGCTAGCAACTAGTAGTAATTTTAGTCTAAGTGAATTTGAAGAAGATTCTTGCAGTCCTGTCAGCCGGCAGACTTCAGAAGTTAATTCTGACAGAGGTACACTTGGTTTTAGTTAACTCACTTATGTTTTGCCAAGACAATATTTACATTAGAATAATATAATTTACATTACATGTACATAAAATAAAACAAAGGACAAGAATAGATCTAGAGTTATTAACACAATTAACTAATGCGGTCGTCAATGGACCACCAAAATGTCATAAAATGCTGCTACATTTTCACTGGTTGGTCCTCTGTTTTTTTGTTTGATGATGAAAAAATATGGTTGTAACTTCGTGAGATATATAAGACCATATTGTCATCCCGGAAAGGACCTTGGAGGGCCACCTCAGCAGGATCGCAGCAGGATCCCGGTGTGTGCCAGGATTCTTGACAGAAGCCCACTGGGATCCTGGTACCTATTTTAGAAGGCCCACTTAAAGGTCAAGTCACATTCATGTAGCATTTTCGAAATTAAGAAGGATTGTGCCTGCTTAAGCGAGCAAAACAAGGCTGTGCTCTAAGAAAATTTTCAGGGAGTCCTTCAGGCTCCAAACCATTCCAGCTAGGGTGCCCAGCTCTCCAGGCAGGTTGCCCAAAAACAATTTAATTTGTCAATTGATTAATTAAATTTCAAAATTAAGCCATGGTTTAGTCAGTTGATAATTAATTGAACCATGAAATTAAAATAATTATACAAGTAATCTTGAAGCTTTTTGGTCTTGTTGTTTGGTGTGCACTGTCAGATTACTCCTGGCGGCTTTCTACAGACAAACAAGTTTGACTTTCTTATGTTATCACAAATATTACCAGAGAGGTTTTCAAGAAGGCTGATTAAAAGACCAGTGATCACAATTCAAAACAGAAACGCCTTTAAATTGACTTTAGCACATTGATTGTTTGAATGAAACTGATCAGTCACAAGTTTCTATGAATAAACAATGTTGTAACAGCTACTTTTCTTGCTATAAAACAAATGATAGATCATTTGTAGCTTTGTAGACTTTGTCTGTGGATGATGGAAGGTCATGGGTATGAAAGAATTTACCAGTTCATCTTCTTTAAGACCCACCTAGGCATTACTTTCCAGGCTACGAATGAATTGTTTTTGTTTTGTGTACTTTCTTTCAAGTGCAATCACACATTCTTTCGATTCATCTCCAGGTTTACTTTTCTTTAGCTGGCAGTCCAGGATTTCATACAGTATGCCAAGATCTTGATCCATCGTCTCTTAAAAATTTTCTTTCTCACATGTTGAGTGATCTGCGCGACTGTTGTTATGCAGACTCAGCGTCATGCGATATGCGTGAAAAGTGATAATACTGCCATACCGGCATGTTTTCGTATCATGAAACTCATTCATAGTTTCGTGCTAAAATGGCCCAAATAAAAATTAATCCTCCCATTTAGGTAATTTACGTAAAAATTTCCTACATGTAGGTTATCTACCAGTAGTTTGATCTAGAAGTCAACTTAAGGTATCTCAGTATTTGTGGAGAGTTAAACTTTTCAGAAGATACCTGAAAGCTCTTGCGACAGTCCAGCCAGTAGAGCAATTTGATAGTCTTTACTAAGCTGTGGGATTTTGAAAAAGAATTGTGGGTTTTTTTTACAGTTGCGGGACACCAAATTACCCAAAAAGCTACGTATTAAATATTTTTCTTGTACTTTAACCAAACTTTCACACACACGGCGGAGTGAGTTGCTATTTTTAGCCGCCACAGTTTATTGTAGTGAACTAATATAAAATTTATGTACGCTAAATTTAGGATCACTTGAAAGTTTCATTAAAGATCACTAAAATAAGTCTTGAAATCGTTTCTAGAAGTGCTTATGGTACCTGCTGTGGTACCAAATATTGATAAAATGAAATTGCTAACAAGTCACCGCTATTGAAATTTTGTTTACTCAATACATGTTTATTTGTAGACTTAAGCTGAATTGCGAAAATCTGTATATACGAAGAATTTTGTATTAAATAATTACGCACTGCACCATTGAAAACTATTGAAACACTAGAACATATCAGGATAAAATAATCTCCAGGGAAAATCAAGATTTTCAGTTTGCATTATCTGTGCGGTTTTTCGTGTGTGAATTCAAGTGAGAAGGAAAGATCATGTTTCATGTTAATTCTTGTGGAACAAACGAACTTGAACAATAAAAAGCGTGTTGTGCGAAAAGATATTTTTCTGTAAGTAACACTTTAACTTTGCAATCTGTTGCCCGCTTGGCAAGAAGTTAGTTCTCACCGGGACTACTACCAAGATTTTACTTCCCCATGGGATTCTCACCAGTATCCTGGAGGAGATGTTTTTTATGGTCGGATCCCGGTGAGGACAGATTTCTTGGCGGAATTCTTGCCAAGATGCATGATGGGAATTTTTCCTGAAAAGGACTCTGCCGGGCCACCTCAGCGGGATCGCAGCAGAATCTGCAGTGTGTGCCGGGATTCTTGACAGAAGCCCACCAGGATCCCGGTACCTATTTTAGAAGGAGCCACTTAAGGTATCAGTCAACCCACCAGGGCCGTCTGTGCACGGTTCGTTCTAGCGCACTTTGTTTCAACACAAACCCCTATAAACAGTATATTTTTTGAAAGCTGAATAATCATGATTACAGCTAATTCCCTTTAAAAGGTATAAAACTTTAATGCGCTTAAAAAATGAGGAGGTTTTTGCAAAGCTGAGTGTTTTCATTCATTAAGTTCCACGCTCACCAAAAACAAACAGAAGAAAGCAATTAATATGGCTTTCATTTCTTCACACTTTTGCCTAAAAAAACTGTGTCTCAGATTTCTGGAATGTGCATTCATTTTATTTTTACAAGCAAATATATTCGGGGATGAGAAATTATTGCCACCACCAGTGGAAAATAGGCTATAACTTTGAAATGAAAAGAACAATTAAAATTCGCAGACACGGTTTTGTAGGTAAGCTATCTGACAACATTTTGGCCAAATTTCAGCCAAATTGGTCCAGGGGCTGCAGACTTGGAGTTCAAAATGCATGCACAACTCGCCCAAATTTTCATATCGAGAAACAAGGAAAAATAGAATTTTGACCGCAATGAGATTAGCAGCACCTAGGCGTCACCTAGGCGTCAAGCAAATAAAGTGTTGATTGATAAAAGAAAGTATCAGTTTTCTTGAACAATAGTAGTTTGACAGGTAACAAGAAACAGACAAATTTTCGCGGCGGTGGGAAACTGCCGTTGAGAAAAAGCCGCTTCCAAGACCGGCCCCGTCCTTGAGGTTAGTAAACGCTGAATCATTTGACTGACTTCTCAAATAGTTCAGATTACGTGCAGCAATGAAAACATCTTGATGAATTTATCTTTAATTATAGCTAGGTTTGTAAAGACGCCAAAGACAAGAAAGCGATCGAGAGCAGCAGCTAACAGTCCGGCGCTGGCAGACATCAGCGATGATGCAAACGGAAGGTTTGCAAAGGGACACGATCTTTCTTTCTTTTTCGAAGACATTCATAGATTGCACAAGACGAAAACTTTGAGCGCTTCCAAGATGGCGAGTCACATGTGTTTTGTGAAACGCAAACACACATGTGCTTAGCTGTCTGGTAATCTCTCCTTATTTGACAACGCGATGACAAGAGTTGTCAGTGGCTAATTAGAATAATAAAGATGACAAAATTGTTTTCGCTTAATAACTTCCCGTATGAATAACATTTTTTTGTGAATTTTTTTTTAAACGAAAGCTATGCCTAAGATTTATTGAATCATATAAAAATCCAAAATTATGTAAAATGGTCAATTTTGGGTTGGCTGATACCTTAACGGCCAAGTCACTTTCACGTAGCATTTTCAAAATTAAGAAGAATTGTGCCTGCTTAAGCAAGCAAAAAAATTTCTGGTCAGCTTTGCAGTTAGCTGCAGTTTACTAATAACTAAAGTAACTTTATTCTACCAGCCAGTAGCCCATTAAGCAACGTTGCTGGTATCCACAGGGGCCCATTGATTTATTGAGCCCATAGCTTGGTTGGATTAAGCTTTCGTTATTGGTTATTTTTATAGATCACCCATAGGTACTAAGTATTTTATAATAGCAATGATTAAGCAAGACACTCCAAGACTATTTTGCATCTCTTGTATTTTTTTTTACTTTTCGTCACTTGTATAGCAACCATATGCATTACAATGTATATGCTGAACACTGATGCTTAGAGCACATTAAGAATAAATGATTGTACTCAAAGGAAGCAACAGATTTTGTTTTAAGAAGTTTGCATTAGGTCAAATTGTAATGTACAATCATTATTAAATATATGTTATTTGCCGGCTGGGAGGTCCATATGGTGAAAAACTGTGACTGAGGTCTTGAAAATGCTGCCCGAGGCCGTAGGTCGAGGCAGCATTTTCAAGCCCAAGGTAAGGGCAAATAACATGTTTATTTTGTTTTTCCTGCAGTAAATTGGTTTTACAGATTACAATGGGTTTGTTTATGCATTGAATCGGCTTGTGTGCCGTCTACTAACGATTTGAAAAAAATCTTGACAACAAGTGAGTAACTCAGACAGTAGACAAAGAAAGATGTATTAAAAAACAGATTTTTTTCGAACTACTTTGTGTTAGTTGCATTTATTTCACCAGTTAAGTTCTCCAAAGTTGTTTTTGCGGTGTGAAATTTTTTGCAAAGTTTGAAGTTTTACTACGACAACAATTTCTGTCAGTCGTTGCTTTTAAAATCACTTCGTCACTTACTGTAAATTGAATAGCAGAAAGCGAGGAAATTCGTTAAGTGTATTCCACACAAATTCTTCTAAATACAGCAACGATCAGAGAGGTAAACTCGACTGAAATTGACTCAAATTTTACAGCGAGAGAAACACAGGATTACGCACCATTACAGCATCAAGGTACAAACAATTATAAAGCAAACTCTCACAACTTCAAAACACTCAATTGAATTTACTTACAGTGACTTTCCTTGCCATTTTAAAGTCAACACAGATAAACTTGCGTTGACTAATCGTCGATGGATGTGTCAAAAAAAGCAAAAGATTGATGATTACTGCTAACTTTTAGGAGGGAAATTTAGGCAGCGGCGAAAAAAATCTGGCCCATGGGCCGTATCGTAAAAAGCTGGACTGGTCGCGTGCATATGATTAGCCAATCAAATTTGAGGATTTAGGATTCCGGCCCGCACAGATGCTTGAGAAAAAAATAAAACAGTATATCATCATCATCAGTGTCATCATTTAGTGCAGTGGGAAGTCCATATTTAAAGCTAGAATTTGTTCAGTTATGCACCTAGCAAAACCCTTCAACTGCAAGACTATCCTAGAATGTAAATGAAGTGAACCATTTTATATCTTTTAAATTTTAGAACACCATAGGTTGCCTAGAAGAAGGAGCAGAACACAACAAAGACGTTCAGGAGAACCTATGGTCCCACATGCACAGTCAGCAGCTAACCAAAGTGACAGCAGAGACATGTCTGAGACTGACACTGTACAACAACAAAGGCTTAGAGGTACACTTACACTGTAGTCCCGTTTTTAAGTATAAATTCAGTGGAACCTTGTTTATTGAGCAGGTACCAAAATCTGACCATAATATGCTTGCAAGCAAGAGCAAATAAATGATCGATACAAAGGCACAAGATTGCACAGCCTTGTTCCCAGGCTCTCTCTACTCTGCCTTGTCTTGAGCTATGCACTGAGGAAAGGAGTGTTGTCACTAACTAGAGGTTGTCAATTACAGAGCTTAGGCACCGAAAGTTTTGGACATTAACCTGTCCAGAAATATTTTTTTGTTCAATCACTATCTTCAGTATGGTTTTTACTTTCTTCCACTTATTGCCAGCATGGCTCATTGTAAAAT